GAACATCACAGAACGTTATCATTTTTGTGTGAAGAAAGTATGCAAGATTAGTAAGAGACCTACAGTTCGTGAAAATTATGTCGTCTTGAGAAAGATAACGTTATTAGCCTGCTAACGTTAATTACACATCAGTATAATTAGAGTTGCTAGCGGTTTAATTTGTGACAGAATGTCAATTTACAAAAGTAAATGGGGCACCAACCCAGAACCTTCTAACACTTTAAACAGGTATTTTTAAAGTGACATTACATTTATTAGCTTTGATACTATAAACCAGATATCTTCAACACACACAAAGATAGGAGGTTTTTAATACCAGCCATGAACACAGAAGTCAATCATTAATAATAAATAAAAATGACCAAGCTGAATTTTCCATCTCTCCATTTGTTTCCAAGACATCTTCTTATTTCAGAAGGTGGAAAACAATCGTTTTCCTCAGAGAGCCGTTTTAGAAGGCTGGTTTTGAGACCAGTTGCTCTAAACTTTTAAAGTTTTTAAACTGTATGGACTGTCTGCACTTGTCTCTCCTTACTTGTGCTTTCTTTGCACAGGGAGTTGATTTTTAGCCTTCAAATGAGCTTTTGTTTTCATTCCAAAATGATATTTACCTCCATCGTGTAATCTTGTTTGGTCCGTTTTACCTCTCCGAGTTGGGAGTCTCAGGTCTGTACACACTCCACTCACACACAGTTTTCTTCATGCAAGCCCTTTTATTTCCACACTCCAATAACAATTCACAGAAAACCACATTTAAACAGGTTAAAGAAGGATAAACTCTGTACACAAATGTTTGGGTACACCAAGAAAAACGACTCTTCCTTGATGGAAATGTGTGTTGGTTGAAAACCTAAAACAGTGAAAATCTTCATGGAAACAGAGGATAACTGAGTTCTGCTTGTGATCACAGGTGACCAAAGTATGAAGACATTTGCAGTTAATGTGAGAGTCTAAACAAAGTGGCTGAGGTCGTACCTTTGGCTGATAAACTGGCTTCTGTCAGGTGGACGGCCGTGGCATCTCCACTGTTGGTGGAAACCTGCATGACTGACCTCTGACCATCAGAGGCAGCCGGACACAGAAGCCCCAGCTGTGTGGAGACCAGAAGCATTTACACCCAGCCATCTGCTTTGGGGTGGTCAGCTGATGGTCAGAGCCCACAGAGCCCCCCGCATCCTGCTCTCTGTCTGCCCCAGGCACTTTCCTGGAGCCCTAGAGGACATCCCAACAGTCCAACTGGTCCAGGTCCTGCTCCTGGTTCAGGTTCAGGTCATGCTCCTCTTCCTGGGTCTGGTTCTGGGCCTGGTTCAGGTCCTGGTTCTCAGCCTGGTCCTGGGTCTGGTTCTGGTCCTCTTCCTGGTACATGTTCTGGTTCTGGTCCTCGTCCTGGTCCTCGTCCTGGTTCTCAGCCTGGTTCTGGTTCAGGTCCTGGTTCAGGTTCAGGTTCAGGTCATGGTTCAGGTTGTGGTCCTGGTTCAGGTCCTGGTCCTGGTTCTGGCTGCTCAGAGCTCCGTGTGTCAGATGGAGTCCTGTTGGAACACTCTGAAAGAGCTGAGTCATGTTTAGACCTTCAGTCTGTGCTGACTGGAAGACTTCCACAGATCCCAAAGCATCAGATGGCTTTTCACAGCAAATGTGGTCTGACTGCTGCTTGCTGCTCGACTTTTAGCCGTTTCAGATCAGGTTTCCTCTGACCTCCATCTTCTGACCCACAGAGAAATGATAAGACCCCCCGGGGCCCCTCTCCCGCCGGGAGACCCTCCACCTCCGGGTCCCCCCCACCAGCCCGGTCCACCCCCAACAACCTGGTCCCGCTCACCTGCCCGGTCCCGCCGGTGTCCTCCCCCCCTGCCCCCCCGCCAGCAGGACCCCTGGAGGCTGATAATGGAGGGGGTGATGACGATCACTGAGGCTGTTGTCCATCTCTATTCGAGTAACCCCTGGTCCTGGTCCTGGTTCTGTCTCAGATCCAGGTCCTGGCCGTGGTCCAGATCCCGAAGCATCAGATGGCTTTTCACAGCAACCCTAACCCTAACCCTAACCCAGGAGCTGCACACCAGTTTCTGTGGTGGCC